CGAACCATCGTTTGCCGAAGAGAGTACTGTTTTCCATGCCCAATTCGGAGTGGCGTAAGCAGAGAGGTGGCCAACCCTTGACTTGGCGGAGGAGTATGAAGGAGATCACGAAACGCTTGGGTGCTGTCGGTGCTACTCGCCTTCCAGGATGGGGACCGCGTGATCCTCACTGTGCCTGGTTGGAGACACTACAATATATGGCTGCTGAGCAATGTCAGTGGCGTTCTTGTTGTCAGTTTCTATCCAGATTGCCTGAGTGAATGTCTGGAGGTGTAGGCACCTCGGAATGATTGTGTTAAGCTAGCGCTAAGTCCCTCCCCCATCCACCTTTATTTTTTTCTTTACAATAAGGCTTTCAAATAAGTCATGGTTGTACGGCAGTGAAGCATTGGTGTTGAGCACTGATGTCATGCTGTCGTTGATGATGATGATGATGATGACCTGTTTTGGGTGTGTGCTGGTCATAGATTGTTTCTTTGCAGTACCAAGATATCTTGGCAACGTGATTCTCACCAATAAAATCTAAATAGACCACATCGCCATCAGCTGCCGGTGATGTCCGATCATTGCCTGCCGTTCCTTCTGGACTACCCACGCGGACACCGACAAAGCACTTTCCCGCCTTTTTTCCAAGCCTACGCAAAACGCGCTCACCTCGTTTACTCACTGAAGAAAACGTCCAGCTGTAGCACCCCTCAGGTGCCTAGCTGCCATGCCATCCGAAGGAAGCATGAGGGCTTCCTTCCAGGCTGGGCTTTCAGGTTGCCCGAGCTCAGACAGGGGAAGTCGAGATGCAGAGGTCGGGTTAAAACCACGGACCTTCCGGTCAGCAAATTCGCGCTCTAACCACTTGGGCCATCTCACCCCTAGTAGAAACGGCCGGAACACCCGGTATTCCCAGCCGTCAACCATGCAAGTACTAACCGGGTCCAACGTCGCTTAACTTCCGTGATCAGACAAGAACCGATACTTCCAACACGGTATGGTCACCAGATTCTACTGAATCCACTAATCAAGCGAAACTATCATAACCGGCTCCTCCAAAGCCTACTGAACGACCCTACGTCGGCCAGTTGCAAAAGATATCCACAGTGCTACTCAGAAAAAACACTTCCGTAACGGTACAACTCAGCCACCGTCATCCAAATCTTGGATCTCTGATAGGACCGTGACTTTTCCGGAGGTCTGGAGACAGATTCCTCCTAGCCGAAACCACAACTCAACCCGACACCAGGTGAAACCGAGTGTCCATGCAGACCACGAAGTTTGGTGGGCCTGAAAGGCCGAAGAAACGGAAGGAGTAAAATGCCGGAAACGTCTGCAGGCCATTACACTTGATTCGTCCAGCTGGTGCTGAGAAGTTCATTGTCGGTGAAGCTATCGGGGACCAGGATGGCTCTTTGATATGCAGCAAAGTGAGAACGTTTGGACCACTGCGCATAATACTTCGAACAACATTTTAGTTGTCCACTTGCTACCTAAAATTGGGACTGTCTGTCTTCGAAAAAGGTGGGATGTGGACACGGAACCCATCTCAGCCCTGGTGCACATCTCCACTCAGGCGTCATCGTACCAATGGCCCTGATGACCTTCCGTCTGCTCTGTTCAAGGATAACGCTGGGTAACTCAACCACTGCCTGTGTGGATCCATTTGGAAGAAATATACCCTTCAAGATAACTGGGTGAGTGCTCGTTTTCCACAAGGGTAATAATATTAGTCGTTTAGCTGTAACACCGTTTTAGTGCCCAGTTGCCACTCGAAGGAAGCATGAGGACTGCCATACTTCCAGGTTACCCACATCTAGACAGGAGCGGTCGAGATGCCCAGGTTGGGTTCGGACCACGGACCCTCCCGTCAGTAAATTTGCGCTTTAACCACTTAGCCATTTCGAGCTCCTCCAAAAGTACATACGGTGAATGTAGTAACCACGGTATCAAGTTGACTCCGTCATAAAAGGCTTCTGGCATCACACACTCTCAATGACGCCCGTGCGTCCAACCATTCATCATCATCATCATCACCATCGACAGCATGACATCGGTGTTCAACACTGATGCTTCACTGTCGTATATATCATACATAGATGCTTCCAAATTGGTTGCTGGTCTTCATGCTGATACTTTTTTACAAATATCCCGAAAACAAATACAATGAGAAGTTCTCTGAAGAAAACACGTCACTGGAAGAAAATTCCCTCAACCGGTAGGCAGCATAAATTGCATGTGGTTTCTTTTGAGGAATCGAAGCCCCGGTCCACATATCTTGAAAATCATTGT